CGGCCATTTTGAAAAAAGCTGGTAACCATCTTGAAAAATAGCCCGGCCGCGTTGTCTTGAAAAATGTGTCGGACGGCCATTTTGAAAAAAAAAAAGGTCCTCCTCCTTCCTTTTTGTCAAAGATGCAGGACGCTAAACATGTTTTTTTTTTTATTTTGCCTTAGGGTCTTCTTTGGACGGGCTGGCTAGCATAGTTATTGCAGGCAAAGGCGATTCATTATGCCTAGTCAGAGCACTGTCAATTTATATGAGCCACTGTCTGTCACGTAATTGATTGGTGGAATAGTTTCACAAGGTGTGTTAGTACCATCATAGAGCTGGGACCCGAGGAGTTCGAACTCCATGACTTCAAAAGTAAACAGATGGTCGCCGCCCTCGAAGCAACAATATAAAGCGCCTGGCGGCCAGCCTGCTCAGTTGCTCACTTTGCTAATCTCTACACAATAGAGATCCGCGCTCACTAATGCTAGAAGAAAGAGTTTGCCTAGCTTTGCAGACAGACCATGGTAAATACGCATGCGCAGTTGTCATACAACGCCCAAAATGAAGCGCTTTTGAAGTGTTTGTTCGCAGTTGGAGGATACTGGATAACAGTGTGGTCAACATCACTGAAACAATCATTTCATGACCAAGGGCGGATCCAGAACACAATGGTTTTTTTTTATTGGGGGGGGGGGAGCTAGGGGGGGGGGGGCCCAAAAAATTTTGGTCCCCCCAAAAAGTGGGTCAAAAAAATTACGGCGTGGGGTTCGGGTCCCGCTGAAGGGCCCGGAATTTTTATAGGATTCTAGATGCTCTGTGGTGCGATCTGAGGCAATTTCTGACCACTTTAAGCAATGTTTTTGTTAGGAAAAGATGGTGGTGTACTCATTGCCTGCCTTTATTGTGATGTCACATCGGGGGGGGGGGGGGGGGGCGTGGACCCCTTTGGCCCCCCTGGATCCGCCCTTGTTCATGACAAACAAAATGCTCTATACCTTTAGTATGATAACTTGTGAAATTTCCCCCCCAAAAAATCTTATTTCATAAATGATATATTGCCAATTAAACGTCCGAAAAGACATGATAACTTATCTGAAAAAAAAAATCCTATTTAACTTCGAATTACAGGGACAGATAGCGCTTTCAAGGACCATCATCTGCACATCGATAACTTGAATTCATAACTCACATCTAACAACTGCGCAGTTGTTAAAACCTCTTTTGTCTTAAATATATTTTTCAAAAAAGAGCCGCGACGTGATATGACATAATTATGCAGCATATATAGGTTGTTTGTTACCAACTAAAAAGGCGGCGATGATCTTCGTGTTCAAAGGCCGCTTGCATGCACGCAATGAATGGCAAGGCTTGCGGTCACAGTAATGTAGCTATAAGGACATTCCCGAGAGATTGGAACGTCAATGGTCAAAATGTAAATCGCCCAAGAGTTCTGACTCCTTGGGTCCTAGCTCTATAGTGCGATCTTTTATCCAAGTAAGCTTTTTGAGAATTATTCGGTAGGTAACCCTCGAGATCGAGAGAAGTGCAAATGATGATGTGTTTATTTAAGGGGAAAACCCTATGATTTGGTTCTACTATCTAGAATGCAAGTCCTCAATGAAGAATTTTTGATATGACGATATATTCTAAGCGATACAAAAACATTCACTTTTGAAGGAGACATCCGACGAAACTTCTGCCGTCGTTTAGTTATGGATGAATAATATTTTCCAACTTTTCAATCATTCGGGCCCTGCAATAATTCAGACCAGTTGCGCAACCGAGGCGGGGCGCCAACTTGGTCATGTGAGCCCAACCCCTTCTCAACTGACATTATTATTTTGTTTGCCTCGTTTGGTCGTCTGCATATTACCGTTTCGTTGAATTGATGTTCCAGAGGTTGGGTCAAGGAAGTCGATCATGTTGCTTTTTCTGCGTATGGATTTAATTGTACGTGCATGCACTTCCTGGTACAAGCTAGTACAGAAGCTGTTACAACCTTTAATGAGGTAACAAAAGTGGAAGTCTGGTTCCCAGACCAAAATATTCTGACTATTCCTGATGAATCTTAGGTCAGGTAACCTCCGGTAATACATTGTATTACAGTCTACGTCACGTGACTAAAACGGGAGGAATTCCTCCTTTTTCCGAAATGTCCGAAGTTTGCCGAATTCGTTTCGTCGACAATCGGATAGTGCCCCAGTATTTCCGAGTATAATATAGGTTTAATTAACTGGTAATTGCTCATTATTTTTTTTTTTAATGAGTTGATAATTATTCATTGCTTTCATTTATAAAACTTGAATGTCAACGACAATTTTGTGCATCAAATATACTTGGATCGTATGGACGAAATTTTTGCTGCGTCATGTACAATTTTGAATTTGACGACCGTTACCGAGATTTTCCGAAACTCGGTCTTCATTCGGCTCCACCTGCTAACAGTGCTATTTGGGTGCCTAATTTGGGGATTCAAGATCATTATTAGTCAATGCTATCTTACAGAAACATCAAACTGTATTATCATAACTTTATGATATTCCGAAGCAAGTGATTTATTTAAAAATTTGATCAGAATATTACAAGCTAAAAGTGATAAAGCGAAATCGGAAATGAAGCCGAGCTTTGAAAAAGGGACATCAATGTAGTCATGTTTATTTTTAGCCACGGAGGCTGCCTGACCTACAATTTAGACGTAAGCGTCGGGAATAATTGTCAGGTCTGGGAACCAGACAACAAAAGTGGTAGCACGATTATTGTTAAATCAATGGATGTTTATAATACAAATATAGACTGCTGCGAGTGGTGTGGTAAAACTTGCCCCCTGACTCCCGATGTGATCCTTGGGGCGGTCTGGTTTCCCGAGGCGTGTTCGAGGGAGATGGAAAGGTCCACTGAACATCGAGGGAGTTTAAGTTTAATACACCACGAGATATAGAATACAAATATTGAGTGGCGAATCCGCGACTGAACTGGAAAAGTCCAGATTTTACCGAGCGATAATATTCCTCCCATTTCACAACTTAAATCCACTCAATATTTGTTTTATATAACTGTTTTATATATATGACTTGCTATTTGTATTTGAACTTTTATTTCATAACAAAATTGGTGGAAAATGTATGTCTCTCTTCCAAACCACCCCTTTACGAAAGTATTTGAACCCAGCGCTGTAGCGATTGCTCTTTGGAAAAAATATGTGCTACGCGCAATTCTGAACGTGCACACCGGCATACACTTGCACCCAAATACCGCGTCATGGAACAAGAATGATTCTATTCTGTTTAATGGGTAGTGGTGCAGTTGTTTAATCAATGGACTTTCGATCCGCATCCTAAATGCCATGAGGCTAATAAAAACTGAAATTGCACCTTTGTGTCTCATTGGTTTTGTAATGTTCATTTTGCCATTTCGAAGGTATTTTGTAGTTATGCTAATGTAAAAGTGTGATGTCATTTTCCGTAGAAATCTCAGTGCTACAACTATTTCAGCGCCTAAAGTTTCTTGAATTTCTTATATTTTGCCGTCGCAAATTGTCTGTTGTTGGTAATTCGTTTGTGGTTTAAGTATGGCAGTAAGTCAGTTAGTAAAATTTTCTGACAATAATGTTTCAATCAGCAACTTTGAAAACAGCACATTGGGTTGCTGAGAAAATGCCAATTATGTAAAAGAAGTGATTTTTCATCCTTTCCAATGGTGCTTCAAACAGTGAAACGTGTTACTGTACAGCCGTGTGGTTGCGAAGGGCGATTTATAAAGGTTACGTAACACTTTATTTTGCATGAAACTACATGCACACAGACATGTTCACATAGGAGGGCGAAATCTTTGAAAATTAAATTCTCCCGTTTGGAAACCGTATACAGTTGTATCTTCATGCAACTTTCAGGGTCTATTTCCTATGGAAGTGTAGATAGGACATGGTTAAAAATAAAACTAATTCGTACGTACGAATTACTAAACCGTACGTACGAAATACTAATTCGTACGTACGAATTACTAATCCGTACGTACGAATTACTAATTCGTATGTACGAATTACTAAACCGTACGTACGAATTACTAAACCGTACGTACGAATTACTAAACCGTACGTACGAATTACTAAATCGTACGTACGAAATAATTACTAATTCGTACGTACGGATTATTAATTCGTACGTACGGTTTATTAATTCGTACGTACGGTTTAGCAATTCCAGTGGCGTAGCCAGGAATTTTCCCGTGGGGGGGGGGGGGGGGGGGGGGGCGCCGGGGGGGGGGGGCTGGAACATTTCAGGTTGTGGGGGTGTCATGTAGATCAATGATAATTTTTTTAGAAACTCAAAATCTCAGTGGGGGGGGGGGGCGACTTGGGGGGGAGCGACAAGTTTTCATGGGGGGGGGGCTGTCGCAGTGGCGTAGCCACGGGGGGGGGGGGGCCCTGGGGGGTGACAGCCCCCCATGAAACCTTGTTTCCTCCTGTCGCCCCCACTGAGATTTTGAGTTTCTAAAAAAGTTATCATTGATCTACATGACACCCCCCATGAAATGTTCCAGCCCCCCAGTAGCGACCCTCTCCCCCCCCCCCTTAACTGACAAAAACCTGGCTACGCCACTGCCCCCACGCCCCCCCCCTCCCGTGGCTACGCCACTGAGTAATTCGTACGTACGAATTAGTAATTCGTACGTACGAATTAGTAATTCGTACGTACGGTTTAGTAATTCGTACGTACGATTTAGTAATTCGTACGTATGGTTTAGTAATTCGTACGTACGAATTAGTAATTCGTACGTACGGTTTAGTAATTCGTACGTACGGTTTAGTAATTCGTACGTACGGTTTAGTAATTCGTACGTACGGTTTAGTAATTCGTACGTACGAATTTAGTATTTCGTACGTACGGTTTAGTAATTCGTACGTACGAATTAGTTTTATTTTTAACCATGTCCTATCTACACTTCCATATCCTTAGACACGAAGGATAGCCTTAAACTGATAATAACAATGGTTTTCCTTCTCGTTCTTTCAGTGAGAGTACTTCGACCTGATTACTACTATAAATCAAGATGGCGCAAAAGACAGTTCAGCAGTTGGATGCATACATTGAGGCAACAGCCGTCGTGTACGACCACTCCAACGCCAAACTCATCAGCAGGAAGACTAAAGTCAAACCAAGGAAAAAACAAGCTTTCCTGTCTGTACTGCATTACAGGGAAACGTCTTCTGATGATTGCTGTGCAAAAAGGAGACCATCGAAACGATGGATCCGAAGACAATCAAAGCAGACACATGAAAGTCAGAGGTAAACAGCAATGACATTTATTCATTTCAAATGAGGGTCATAATTGTAACTTAATATCGAAGGATTTGTTGAATCATTGACTCTTTCCAGCTACTTGTGTAAAAGTTGAGTGAACTTGTGCAATACTTTTCATAGACTCGTGACAGTGGATGTGACTTTGACTATAGCTTCAAAATGAAGTGTTCACTGATCTAGTTCTTGTGTAGAATAATGCATTTCTAAACAGATACCTGTTTTTACAGTAATACCAAAGATGTAAAACAGAAACTGCAGGTCTTTGTCCGGACTCCCCCCTCACACAAATCCAAGACACTTTATTTCGAACTCCATCCCGAGACATCCGTCTCATCTCTCAAAGAAGTAATCCAGAAGAAGATCAGTGTGGAGGCACGACATCAGCATCTGTACATCAGGGAAAACGTCCAGGTAGGTATCAATTTCAAATATATCCAAACCTAAATGTTGGCATTGTGGGATTAAATATTTTCCAACTGGGGGTATCACGAAGGGGTACACTTATGTCCACAAGAGGGGCACTTGGGTAAATCTAAGTAACCAGTATCGAAGAAAATCAGTATCCATTCCTTCCAACTAGGCTTAAACGAACGTAATTTGATGGTTGTTTAAACAATGCACAACTTAAATCATCTCTCTTTCTACTCTGATTGTGTAATTTACTTTTTTTTTTAACATGATTCACTTTGTTAGCTCTGTGACTTGCTCACACTCGAGGAGAATGGCGTTGACAAGGATGAACTCATCTATCTTCGTCTTTTATTGGATAATGCAAATGATGACGATGTACCAAAAGGTAAATGGTAGAGGTTATGAATAAAATGTTCGAGTAAAAAGTCAACAACCTCAATTTGAAAATATATGATGAAAATAAGTTCAAGCAGTGCTCACCAGGAATTTTTGTCGCTAAATTGTTGGGCCTGACTAGGCCTTCATCGGAGCTGGGAGTTGGACTGTCGGTAAATGCAGAAAATTCAACATTCAGACCAAGAGTCTCTTCTTGTTGGACCTGTTGTTGATAACTTATAATACCGTGGCGGTCGTATATGAAAATGTTTCACTGACGTTACTCTTTCTTTTGACAGACAAAGCCAGCATTGACAATGAGTACCTCAGGGACTTGTCCTCAAAAATCGAATCATTGTGGAAGGAACTTGCCAAACACTTAGGATATGAAGATGCGGAAATTGCAGATATCCAAACTACCAACGAAGGCAGCGCTGAAGGGAGCCGTCACATGCTACTCACTTGGTGGGAAAAGACGACAGATCGCAACGAAGCAGCTCAGAAGCTGCGACGAGCATTGGAGGCCATCGGGCTGACTGATTTGGCCAAAAATGCACCGGGTGAGCTTAAAGTAAAAACTAGACTTACGCTGTATTTTTCAGGACACAGAAAAGAATTGATGAGGTACCACACGATCTTTTTTGTACAGCAAATAAGCTATTACAAAAAACTACCTTGTTTATTTTTTAAACAAATTAAAAATGTTAAAAGAAAAATCAGGGAAAGTTATTTGTAATCAATTCTTTGCACTTTATTTTTCTTGTAACATCAGTAACGAGCGAATCGAGAGACGAAGCAGCTGGACCCGAGCCAGAAAGGCGTCAAGATGCAGGAGTTGACGAGGAGAGCAAACAAAACGAAGCGGCATCAACCGAGGAAGAGAAACCGAAAAAGGAACGAGTTTGTGATCAAGACAAACCTCAGCTAATCAGGTAAAACACGATATGCTGCTTTTCGTACTACAACTGCAATTTTGGTTTTTTTTAAAGATAGATATAGCTCCCTTCGAAAACAAAATGTCCTCACTTAAATAATGGCGTAGAGAATGATTATACGCCATTAGTCTTTACCTTTATTCCTGAACTTTTATGTCAATTCCAACAATTAAAAAGCCTCACCATCAGAACCTTTTTTCTGACAGTCGCAGATATGTGCAGGTCTTCATCAGAAGTCACTGCTTACATAGACCGAGGATAATGTGCTTGCAAGTGGATCCAGAAACATCTGTCTTGCTCTTAAAAGTGATAATGAGCGAGAAAATCGGTGTGCTGCCTCAACAACAGCGTCTGTTCATCCGAAGAAACTTTCGTAACTTTGAGGTAAAGATTGCTCTATATTTTACAAAGCAGCCGTGTTGCGAAGTACCATCAACATTCTATTGAATTAAAGACCATGCATTGTGGGTTTTTGTGACAGTCTCTTCTGATTCAGTAGTCGTGTACAGATATAGTGCTGCTTTTTATGTCAGCACAATGGAGTTTACGCACTTATTAGTTTCAAGGTGAAGCTGCACCATAACAAGTTACAATTATATGTAGTTATTTTTACCAGTGAAGTATAATCTGAAACCCTTAACTGTCGTTTAAACCTTTGCTTCGAAAAAAATGTTCTTTAAGAAACTTCTTTCTTTTGCCAGCTCCATAACTTGCTGACACTACACGACTGTGGAATTCATCAGGATGAGAACATCTCACTACGTCTGTGTACCGATGGCCTACTGGGCGGTGGACCAAAAGGTAAATGCTTATGAGAAACATTACCTTGCAAGATGGAGAAAAGCAAACGATCAAAATGTCTCCTGGAAAGGAAATGATTAAAAACAATTTGATGCTCTAACGTTATATATTATCATTGGTACAAGTGTTAGGATGTAAATTAATGTCATCGCCTCCCTCTCCGATGTAATTCAACAAGGACCAACACATTATATAAATAAATACTAAGGAAATCGGATTAATTATTTGCTTGCTATTTCTTTATGATGTAGTAACGAAGAGGTTTCGTTTTTATTTGGCAGGCAAATACCCTGTTGATGATCAGTTCTTTCGGGACTTGGCTTCGAAAACTGAATCATCCTGGGAACAGTTGGCCAAATCCCTGGGATACGGTGAAGACGAAATCAAGCAATTCCAAAAAATCGGCCAAGAAAACAAAGAAAGGAGCCTACAGATGCTGCTTTCTTGGTGGAGAAAGCAAACAACTTGCGAGCAAGGATTTCAGAGTTTGAAAGATGCGTTAAAGTCAATCGGGCATGTTGAGCTGGCCCTAATAATTCCTTCTGAGGAGCAACGGAGGATGGAACAGGAAGAAGTTGCAGATAGGGAGAAAAGGGGAGCATCATCTGAGGGACGCAGACCAAGACGGGAGGAAACTGCTCATCGAGATAAACTTCAACCACAGGTACAATTGAGAAGAGCTGAAGAACAAATGGAGAAGAAAGGGACTACATCATCTGAGAATCAGAGAACCAGCCAAGAGGAAGTTACACATCGAGACAAACACGAACCATCGATACTAATGAGAGGGGCTAAAGAACAGAGCACGATGAAAGGGACTACATCTGAGGGACAGCGACCAAGACGAGATGAAATTGCTCATCGAGGCGAACCTAAACCAGAGTTACACATGGGAGGAGCTAAAGAACAGAGCAAGGAGAAAGGGACTTCATCATCTGAGGACAAGAGACAGGGACAACAGGAAGCTGCTAATCGAGACAAACCTCAACCAGAGGTACAAGTGAGAGGGGCTAAAGAACACAGCAGGAAGAGAGGTGCTACATCATCTGAGGACAAGAGACCAGAACAAGAGAAAGTTGCTCATCGAGACGAACCTCAACCAAAGGTACAAGTGAGAGGGGCTAAAGAACAGACCAGGAAGAGAGGAGCTACATCATCTGAGGACCAGAGACCAGAACAAGAGAAAGTTGCTCATCGAGACGAACCTCAACCAGAGGTACAAGTTAGAGGGGCTAAAGAACACAGCAGAAAGAGAGGGGCTACATCATCTGAGGATCAGATACCAGAACAAGAGGAAGTTACTCATAGAGACAAAACTCAACCACAAGTACAAATGGGAGTGGCTACAAAAAAGATCAAACAGAATGAGACTACATCATCTGAGGACCAGAGACAGGGACAACAGGAAGCTGTTCATCGAGACGAACCTCAACCAGAGGTACAAGTGAGAGGGGCTAAAGAACACAGCAGGAAGAGAGGAGCTACATCATATGAGGACAAGAGACCAGAACAAGAGGAAGTTGCTCATCGAGACGAACCTCAACCAAAGGTACAAGTGAGAGGGGCTAAAGAACAGAGCAGGAGTAAAGGGGCTTCATCATCTGAGGACCACAGACCAGAACAAGAGGAAGTTGCTCATCGAGACGAACCTAAACCACCGGTACAAGTAGGAGTGACTGGGACAGAAAGCAGATCAGGTAAACAATTACACATAATCCATTATATGTTTTATCTTTCTCTCGCTTGCTATTTTCCTTCGATTGTTTTTCCTTTCTATTATCAAGAATCAAATTGTGTTAATTATGCACTGTCGGGCTCTTTAACAAATTTGCTCTTGTGCTCCCAGCAAGTGCTCAACTTTAATGTTATCAATTTAAGATAAAACTACTTTACTTCTGGTTTTGGGCGGCTGCAAACCTCCGATTCTTGGTTCCTTTTCAGCGCATGTATATCCGGTTAGCGAGTAGGCTTTTTAAGGGAAGATAAAATTCGACAACCATTCCCTTACTAACTTACGCGTGCAATAATTGATAATACTTTAAATAATTAAGTGAACTAATCATTTTCAAAACATATGAGTGTTTCTTTTTCGATATCTCATTCAAAAGTAGAAAGTAAAAGTTAACGTAATTTTGTTAGATATAGACATAATAGAAATTTGAAAATCTCTTTAACTAGAAAATCTTTACAAGAATATATAAGCACCGACATGACATCTTGAATCATTCGGCAATAAAGATATTGTTTGCAGTCTAGCACGCTCGGTTGTGTTTCAGTTTAATATGGTATGATTCAGTTTAATACAGTCGCCCAAGCCAGATAGTCGTGTTTTTTTCGGGTCGGTTTTCCTTGATTTTAGTAGAGTCAGGTCGGGTCGGATCGGGTCGGTTTCTTAAAGAGCACACATCGCTTTCGGTTCGGATTCGGTTAATATTTTTAATGTTTTGGGTCAGTTTTGTGGTCGGTTTGGCCTGGTCAACCCGACCTGATGCACAACATTAGTACATACGTCTAAAATGTGTATTGTTCTTCGGGTTAGTTGCTCAGCACTCGTCAGGTTAGTTGTTCAGCACCCTTCTTTAGATTTTGAGCACTTTTGTTGCTGCAAACTTCAAACGAACATAATGCACAAATTACAAATGATGGACTGTACCTTTAACAGCCGCCATCCCCCAACACGGTCATTGTCACTCAGTGAAGACCGGGTCCTCACACTGTTACTCCCTAATTATTGAATCGAATTAAATTGAAGGATATTTTAATTCTTGCTTATGATTGTAGATTACCCACAACAAAGTGGAGCCAGCATAGGAAGCATCGGAGCAATCAGCGGTAACCAGAACCCTGTCATTGTTGGTTCAAGTCGAGTTAATATCACTTACATCTCGCCATTGGAAGGACCAGGTAAATATAATCTTGTTCAATACGATAAAGTATTTTGATATCTAAATTAAGTGTTAATGTATTGGGGGGGGGGGGGCAGGGGAAGGATGGTGTACTGTTTTAGCATATTATATGTTGAACAAAGTCCCATGACTTATTAAGCTGTACTTGTAGTTCTCGAGAGGTAGGACTTGAAAATATGCACCTTAATAGGGGAAGAGATCAAAAACATTTTTCAAAGTAAATTTTCTTGGGGTATTCGTTGTTGTGTCATTACATGCCAGTAAGCCAATGAGCTTCTCAAAAATGTTTTCAATGACTGAATAATGGGTGCCTAATTGAACAGAAAACCCCTAAACTGAACAGTGTCTTCCTAAAATGACATCACAGCAACTGCGCCCTCAACATAGAACATTTTAAGTGTTTAAAGAAGTACACTTTTCAATCAAAAGGGATGTCAAATAGTTTTCATACATTTAAGGGAGTAGAAAGTTGTGTGCCTAAGAAATAAGAAAAATGCAAAAGCAAAAGTGCACTTTTTAAAACACATATTTTCTATGTTTTTTTTCAACAACTGGGGGCGGTGTTGCTGCGATGTCATTTCAGGGAGACAGTGTTCAGTTTAGGGGTTTTGTGCACAAAGTGAACCAAAAAATCTGCTCATTTATAACAGTTTTGAGAAAGGTTTGCCCATTGGCTTACTGCCAAGTACCAACACAAATCGCTGAAAAAAGGAACGTTTTCAAATGCAAAATTCTTGCACCTTTTGGGGCTCAAACCAATTGCAACATTGAAATTTTTGCCTGATATAACATCACAATTTGCTCACAAATAAAAAAATTGGCATTAACGTAAAATCCAAAGAGACACCATAATACTCTTAAAAACAGCAAAATGGAAATTGAAAATAAGGTTAACTGGAATACAAAGGTGCATTTTTAAGGACTGCATTACCAAAATGTTACTGCAAAGGCCCTTTAAAAAACTTTAACAAAAAGAAAAAATATCATAAAACCATTTTTTTTATCGCGGACAAATACACCCCTGATGTCATTTCTTTTCTTTTAACAGCCGAGGTGGGAAGAGCGCAATCCAGTCCGAGTGATGCTGCTGATAAATGCAGGAGTGAATTAAAAGACCGGTATACTACCACAGGTAGCTACGTTCAGTTAATACCCTGGAAGGATGACGATATGAAACATATAAGGGATATATATACAGAGTTGCAATTAGAAAAGGGTGACCAAGATGACGTAGAGGGGTATGTTAAGGAGTATGGTGACATTTTCCTCCTGAAAACTACAGACGGGAATGTGATTAATCGCGCCATTTTGTGTGGGTCTGCTGGGATGGGGAAGTCAACCATTATTGACAAAATTGCATACGACTGGGCGAAGGGTACTGCACTCAAAACGTTCGCACTCTTGTTTGTTTTGAAAATGTCTGCTCTCGATCAAACGTCTGACCTGGTTGAATCAGTATTTGATCAACTTTTAGCAGATGATACAGCAGTAGATAGGGATGGTTTGAAAGCATTCATTAAAGACAATGGTGGTAAAGTGCTCATTCTGATAGATGGTTTTGATGAATTCACGACAACAAACCTCGAACCAGAGAAATTTGGTTCCATTCTAAGAATGCTCAATCGCAAATTTGGCAAAAAATGTTTTGTAGTTGTAACAACACGCCCCTCACACTTGGATAAATTGAGAAGCAAATCACTCATTGAGAAACCTTTCACCCATGTGAGCGTTTTAGGATTTAGAAGGACAGATATTGGGAATTATGTGAGAAAGTTTTTCTATGCAAAGCTTGGTGTGGCTAAGGGACTTCTTGATAGGATTCAGTCATCGGATGTCCTGTCTGATTTAGCAAGAAGTCCCATGCTGCTTCTGCTAATGTGTGGACTATGGGAGGAAAAGCCAACACTACCCGATACTCTATCAAGTTTGTTCAGTGAGGCAATTAAATACATATTTCGAAGAAAAATGCCTAAATTATCAGAAGAAGCAATATCAGAAGTGGTGATTGCAATCGGCAAAGTTGCTTTAGAAGGGCTTATTTCCCCAGAGCAAAGGCTTACATTTCAAGAGGGAGAGTTTGAGAAGAGTGTACTCGATAAAGCAATACAAGCGGGTATTCTCACTAGCCAGAGGGTCATTAAGTGGCGCGCCACGCACAATAACGTGCAGTTCATTCATAAGACACTTCAGGAGTATTGCGCAGCTATATACTGCCAGAGTCTTTTAAGCAAAGGCGACGGGGAATTTCAAGAGATACTTCATAAACTTGGCGATCCTCAGAATTTCGAGTACATGCTGCGCTTCTGCTGCGGCGACAATCAACAATGCACACGACATATATTGCGGATGCTGCAAGTGATGATGAAGCGCAGGAATTCCGCTTTCAAAGGCAAGCTAGCGGAGGAATTGGCCTTAAATTGCTACTTTGAAAGTCAAGCAAAGGATTTGTTATCAGTAGATTTCATCGAGTCGTTTTTCGATGAATGTATTGATATAAATGACTACAGCAAGGACTCATTGAACTCGTTCGTGTGGTTGCTGCAGCATGTTGCCAAGCACACAAAGCCCTCGGGAGTACATTTCCTTGCTGAAGTAAGTGAAATTCACATAAAACAGTGTAACCACTCAAGGTTGAGTGAAGTCGTAGCTTTGCATTTGCCAACAATGAAAGACTTGATCATATTGCATTTCGATGATTGCGCACTAACTGGTAGCAATGCTGATACACTTTTGTCATCATTTCGTAATGGAGGTAACTTGATAAAATTAAGCCTCGGAATGAATGATTTTTGCGGTTCAGCCAAAGACTGGGCGGTCCACTTGCAAGGGATGAAACACCTCATGAAACTCAGTTTAAATGGATGTTGCTTAGACCCGCGTGACGTAGTAGACATTGCATTGTCAACTGGGGAGTTGCCAAACTTGGCCAAGCTGAACCTTTCAGAGAATAAGGGATTGGGTGAAAATGCTTTAACGTGGGCGGCTAGTTTGCAGTCGATGATTCACCTGAAATCACTCGATTTATCGGAATGCGGCATAAATAAACAAGATATACCACATATAACATCATCAGTTGGGGAGATGCCAAACTTGGCCGATCTTGACCTTTCAGACAATAAGGAATTGGGTGGTAACGCCGTAACGTGGGCGGCTAGTTTGCAGTCCATGATTCACTTAAAGAAGCTTGACATGAGTAATTGTAGCATTAACAGTCGCGATATGAAATATATCACCGAATCAGTAAGTCGCATGCGGAATATCGTGGATTGTGATTTCAGTAGTTACCCCGGAGTGTGGCGTGTACAGTCATTGGGTAATGGCATAGAGTTGAGCATCAAGATGTTCTCACTCACTGGCAGGGATATGGCGGATGTATTGCAGTCATTCAATAATCGGAGCGATTTAGTCAGATTGACCATTGATGGCATTTGCGGACTGGGTGGTTCCGCAAGTATCTGGACTCCACCCTTTCAAAACCTGACGGAACTTAAGAAGGTGGAGTTAAGTGATTGCTCACTGCAAAACGCTGACATTGAACACATTGCTGCAGCATTAGGTCAAGTACCAAACTTGGCCGATCTAAATCTTTCAAAGAATTCGAACTTGGGCGGTAACGCAGGAATATGGGCGGCTAGTTTGCAGAGGATGATGCACCTGAAATCACTCGGTTTATCGGAATGTGGCGTCAATGGACAAGATTTACTACATATTGCATCATCGGTTGGGGAGATGCCAAACTTGGCCGATCTAAATCTTTCAAAGAATTTGAACTTGGGCGGTAACGCAGGAGTATGGGCGGCTAGTTTGCAGAGGATGATGCACCTTAAATCACTCGGTTTATCGGAATGTGACATAAATGAACATGATATACCACATATTGCATCATCGGTTGGGGAGATGCCAAACTTGACCGATCTTGTCCTTTCTAGTAATATGGGATTGGGTGGAAATGCTGAAAAGTGGGCGGCTAGTTTGCAGTCGATGATTCACTTAATGGGGCTTCACATGAGTCTTTGTAGCTTTAACAGTTGCGATTTGAAATATATTGCCGAATCAGTAAGCCGCATGCGGAATATCGTGGATTGTGATTTCAGTAGTTACCCTGGGGTGTGGCGTGTACAGTCATTGGGTAATGGCATAGCGTTGAGCATCAAGAAGTTCTCACTCACTGGCAAGGATATGGCGGATGTGTTGCAGTCATTCAATAATCGGAGCGATTTAGTCAGAATGACCATTGATGGCATTTGCGGACTGGGTGGTTCCGCAAGTATCTGGACTCCACTCTTGCAAAACCTGACGGAACTTAAGAAGGTGGAGTTAAGTGATTGCTCACTGCAAAACGCTGACATTGAACACATTGCTGCAGCATTAGGTCAAGTACCAAACTTGGCCGTTCTAAATCTTTCAAAGAATTCGAACTTGGGCGGTAACGCAGGAATATGGGCGGCTAGTTTGCAGAGGATGATGCACCTGAAATCACTCGGTTTATCGGAATGTGGCGTCAATGGACAAGATTTACTACATATTGCATCATCGGTTAGGGAGATGCCAAACTTGGCCGATCTAAATCTTTCAAAGAATTCGAACTTGGGCGGTAACGCAGGAATATGGGCGGCTAGTTTGCAGAGGATGATGCACCTGAAATCACTCGGTTTATCGGAATGTGGCGTCAATGGACAAGATTTACTACATATTGCATCATCGGTTGGGGAGATGCCAAACTTGGCCGTTCTTAATCTTTCAAAGATTTCGAACTTGGGCGGTAACGCAGGAATATGGGTGGCTAGTTTGCAGAGGATGATGCACCTTAAATCACTCGGTTTATCGGAATGTGGCGTCAATGGACAAGATTTACTACAAATTGCATCATCGGTTGGGGAGATGCCAAACTTGACCGATCTTGTCCTTTCTAGCAATATGGGATTGGGTGGAAATGCTGAAAAGTGGGCGGCTAGTTTGCAGTCGATGATTCACTTAAAGCGGCTTGACATGAGTCTTTGTAGCATTAACAGTCGCGATTTGAAATATATCGCCGAATTAGTAAGTCGCATGCGGAATATCGTGGATTGTGATTTCAGTAGTTACCCTGGGGTGTGGCGTGTACAGTCATTGGGTAATGGCATAGAGTTGAGCATCAAGAAGTTTTCACTCACTGGCAAGGATATGGCGGATGTGTTGCAGTCATTCAATAATCGGAGCGATTTAGTCAGAATGACCATTGATGGCATTTGCGGACTGGGTGGTTCCGCAAGTATCTGGACTCCACTCTTGCAAAACCTGACGGAACTTAAGAAGGTGGAGTTAAGTGATTGCTCACTGCAAAACGCTGACATTGAACACATTGCTGCAGCATTAGGTCAAATACCAAACTTGGCTGATCTAAATCTTTCAAAGAATTCGAACTTGGGCGGTAACGCAGGAATATGGGCGGCTAGTTTGCAGAGGATGATGCACCTGAAATCACTCGATTTATCGAAATGTGACATAAATGAACAAGATATACCACATATTGCATCATCGGTTGGGGAGATGCCAAACTTGGCCGATCTAAATCTTCCAAAGAATTCGAACTTGGGCGGTAACGCAGGAATATGGGCGGCTAGTTTGCAGAGGATGATGCACCTGAAATCACTCGATTTATCGAAATGTGACATAAATGAACAAGATATACCACATATTGCATCATCGGTTGGGGAGATGCCAATCTTGGCCGATCTTAACCTTTCAGGCAATAAGGGATTGGGTGGAAATGCTGAAACGTGGGCGGCTTGTTTGCAGAAGATGATTCACCTGAAATCACTCGCATTACGGGTATGCAACATAAATGAACAAGATATACCACATATTGCATCATCGGTTGGGGAGATGCCAATCTTGGCCGATCTTAACCTTTCAGGCAATAAGGGATTGGGTGGAAATGCTGAAACGTGGGCGGCTTGTTTGCAGAAGATGATTCACCTGAAATCACTCGCATTACGGGTATGCAACATAAATGAACAAGATATACCACATATTGCATCATCGGTTGGGGAGATGCCCAACTTGGCCGATCTTGACCTTTCATTCAATGAGGGATTGGGAGATAACGCCAAGACGTGGGCGGCTAGTTTGCAGAAGATGATTCACCTGAAATCACTCGAATTATGGGTATGCAACATAAATGCACAAGATATACCACATATTGCATCATCGGTTGGGGAGATGCCCAACTTGGCCGATCTTGACCTTTCATTCAATGAGGGATTGGGAGATAACGCCAAGACGTGGGCGGCTAGTTTGCAGAAGATGATTCACCTGAAATCACTCGAATTATGGGTATGCAACATAAATGCACAAGATATACCACATATTGCATCATCGGTTGGGGAGATGCCAAACTTGGCCGATCTTAACCTTTCAAACAATGATGGATTGGGTGGTAACGCCAAGACGTGGGCGGCTAGTTTGCAGAAGATGATTCACCTGAGATCACTCAATTTGTCGAAATGTGGCATAAATGAGCAAGATCTACCACGTATAGCATCATCCGTTGGGGAGATGCCGAACTTGGTCGATCTTAACCTTTCCAGAAAATGGGACCTTAGTCGTAGCGCAGGAACGTGGCCTGCTAGTTGGCTGAGGATGATTGACCATTTTATGATATTTTGTGGCATTGACAGTTTCGATAGTCCCGCTGAGGAGTGTCGTCTTCAGCCATGCAATAATGGCATACAGCTGAGCATTCAGAGGCTCTCACTAACCAACAAGGGTATGGCGGATATATTACAGTCATTCAGTAATCGGAGAGATTTGGACAGGTTGACCCTTCGTGACATTCATTGGCTGGGTGGTTCCTCAGAAATCTGGACCCCACCCTTACAAAACATGACGGGACTTCGGAAGTTGGATTTAATCAATTGCTCATTGCAGAGCATTGACATTGAACACCTCGCTGCAGCAGCAAGTCGAATGCCAACCCTAAAATCCCTCAGCCTTGAGGGAAATCGTTCTTTGAGTGGCTCTGCACAAACATGGTCTGGCTGCCTGAAACAAATGAAACATGTTAGAAGCCTGAAATTGGGTTATTGTTCGCTGACAGAAGAAGATAAGAGACACATATCCGAGGCATGGGGAAGTGGAGTTGATTTTGGATCTTCTGAAGATGACTAGATGTCCAATGTATATCTGCGCTGAGATATGTTATGTGCATGCCCAAATAACCTATAAGATGAATGTGCACGAGTATATGATGCTATTTAAATGTCATTTGGATCGAGTCAATCTCGAACTCACGTCTGAAATTCAAGTAAATCTAGTTGGAGTCAGAGTCACAGATAGGAGGCACTTGAATCGATCCCTGGGCCAATTCACGAATCACCTGGATCGAGTCAGGCTCCAAGTCACGAGTAAGGTACCGAGTCATACGTAATCTAGCTGGAGTCAGAGTCACAGATACGAGTCAATTGAATCGATCCCTGGGCCAATTCACGAATCACCTGGATCGAGTCAGGCTCCAAGTCACGAGTAAGGTCCCGAGTCACACGTCATCCAGTTGGAGTCGTAGTCACGGAAACGATGAGTCACTTGAATCGATCAAACAATCCCAGGAAACGAAGCACTCTATTGGATCCAGTCATTTTGTAGGAGCGATGTCAATTACATAATAATTGAAACGCGCGGGGAAACAAGCTGAGAAATGACGCAATATTCTTTCGAAATCAAGCTACCCAATATCTCACAATAATTAATAGTTAAAATATAAGGCGGGTATTCTTATTGATATAAAAAATACGCTTTAATGAAATTCACGCTAATCTGAAAGCGCTTGTCCTTATTTTTCAATGATTTGTAGAATTTTGGAAATAGTTGTTGCATCGGATCATTGAAAATTGTTCAGAGTTTATCATGTAGTTACTGAATCATCATAGCAATATTCAACTTCATAAGTCAAAATATTGAAACCTGTCATCCACGGGTGAAGCATTTTTTTTCCGAATAAAATAATGAAATACAAGTAACAGTGAAAAGAGAATTCCGCTGTTTGAATGGGCAAAGCCTTGTTGGTGAACAGCCTAATAGAAATACTTTCAGCTGAATAAATGTATATGCATGTGTGTCTAATCACCGGGTCATGTCGCCGCTGACTTTTTGCAACTCTGGTAACTATTTAATTAATTAACTCAGTATGGAATATATTAGAATATTCATCTGTGGCGCAATGAGAGTATGACATGGAAACAGTAACGAAGCTCAAGATTTTCCTGGAAAATGGTTCATGCTGTTTATAACTTGTACATATCTTTCTGTTGCCCGTTATTTATTTTGAGAAATCGAACTGCAAGTTTAAAGTATACATATTTTTACCTTTTATATTGTACCTCACGAGTTTATCACAACCGTTAATTTTTGTATGCGACCGATTCTAACAAATCTGAGAACAAATTCTCGCCTTGAAAAAATTAAAAGCCGTTCAATGTGTGTATTTATTTATTGGACGGGTGCTACCTGATAAATACGGTCGGTATTAAATGTATTACTAGTCAACTCATTTTGACAGTACATGTACACCCATATTGCAGCCAGTCCTTTGGAGGAGCAAAATGTGCGTCATGTTTACCTGTGGCTTCACCTCGTAAGTTATATAATTTAATACTTCTATCAGATATTTAATATTGATGATACCAAATTGTTTTCTGAAACAGTTACTGTTAAAGATCTACATTTACTTTTCAACCAATTGTTTTGTTTAAGTGCATCTTATGTCACTGAGATGTCTCATTTTCACTTCAAAACAAGTCAGATTTTGTTTGGTTAACACCAGGTTTTGTTAGAAATCGATATTGAAGAGAACTTGACATTGATTTTTTTAAGCTGTTACTAGTGATGAAGATTCTACAAAGATTTCAAGGGAGCTGTGTCAGAGTTGAAAGTTATGCTTTCTTGGAAACTGATTAAAACAAAAACACTGTGTCTATATATATCGTAAAATTTCTGCATGCCTTGCTACATTTACACGTACCGGTATTGAACATGACATTATATTAATCATATGACTTGTCTGATAGTGATCACATTTTCATTCAAATTTTTAATACTTTTGTATCAATCGCTCAACTCCATCCATATTCAATGTTGTTAAGGGGACAAACGAGATGATAACTAAATATGAAGCACAAAACACGTGAAAGTTGAGTCATGATTGAGTCTGCATGTAGATCATCCAAAATCGCTCAGCAAGGTTAGATGATGTGATACATGGGCAATATCTGTGATTGCTTTAACTACGAAATACTGGATTTATTTTTTAGAGTTTCAGTAAAACATGTATTGATGTGAAAATATTGGACGTGTACTTTTAACACGTCTGATTAGTTGTTTGTAACTTTTTGTTAATTGTGGGAAATAATTATTATTTTCCTCTCAGTTATATCAGACGTGAATAGCAAAGTGTAAAAATGGTTTATCCGGTTTGCTCAAAACCACCAAATATAGTTGATTAGAAATGCGTCTTTTCTTGATTAGAAATGCGTCTTTTTATTTGTCACACCCAGCTTTTTATCTCCCGAGAATCTGGGAGTTATTGTTAAAACAGATGTATTTGTTAAATATATCATTTGACGGACATCCATTTGGGTCTCGAAATAAACTTTCAATTATACTCTAACCACGTTTTGTCGTGTTGGTTGTTGATACAGTGTTTGCTTGTTGAAATGGGGTGTTGGAGCATTTAGTAATTAACAAAGATATTAAAAGTATTCTTAGTGTTCATTTCTGGTCATTTTGATTATTTATCAATCTAAATACACTTTCCGTAACCCTCCATCCATAATAAGAGTTTTGATTTAAGTCGTCTACATGAGAGTGGAAACTTGATCGGACGATCCGCGGTCATATGATCAACATTCCACAAGTTAATATACGCGGTTCATTCCTGTGATTAACTGCTGTCCCCCCCCCCCCCCAAAAAAAAATAGCAGAAAGTTTTACTGATAACGACGGTAATACTGACTATGAGAGCTGGTTTTGCAGTCTGTGCCATAACCAAGGTCAATGACTCCGTTTGGCTGCTACGGCAACAAGGTGACATGTAGACTGGTTCCCGCGCCATTTAAGGTCAGAATCAATGAAGGAGGGCCTGGAAACTAGTCTAATTGAAAGGCCCATGCAGCCCACGACCACTGTGACGTTGCCCCTATTGTTAAACTATTAGCATTACAACAGGTGAATTCTAACAGCGGTATGCGGAAATATTAAACTTTGCCCATGCACTTCTATCTGTTCAGGATTTCGTGAGTTTTCCATGACTATTTTTTCCCCTCTCTTTGATCTCCATCGTGCAGTCTTGATAAATTTGTTTCTTCTGAATAATGTAATTTGGATGAAGTCAACTCGCCAAGTCTGGTAGAGGTAGAATGGAGATGGAATTTTACAAGTCATGATCAGAATTTGTCGTTACACAGTGAAGGGTGCAGTTTTGCCGTGAACTTGGCCGAAAGAGAGTTAACAGGTAAGAAATATTAACAGGGGTACATCAGTGCCGGGTTGGGATGGTGGTGAGGGCCGGCAGGATTAGGAAGACACTGCGCTTCTGAAGGGATTTTTCTGAAGTATTACTCGGACAGCTTCGAGTATACAATGATCATGAAATAACGGCACTGAAGGACAGACCCAATGTTGAATTTTCTGAATTACGTGCCGTTGGAAATGTACATGAAAATGGAAATGCAAACTTATGTTAATGTATGTATATATGTAGGTTCAAACGAATACTAATATGCAAACTTTGATTTTGTTTTCAATGACTCACCAAGGAAGCTGAAAGGGGATTGTGGAACTCCTAGATTAAAGTTAAGGGTCATAATAGTTATAGGGAAAATGGTTTCAGAAGAATATTGGGCATATCAACTTCAAAGTTGGTATGCGAATTGGTCCCGGGGACCCCAGAAGATTGTTGGTTTTGAACCAATAGGTCAGAGGTCAAGGTCATTATGAATCAAACAAATAATATGAATTCAGCATATTTGTGGACTTACTTTGCATATCAACTTCCTGTTCATTTGTTGGGAGGTATGGTCCTGCAAGTCAAAGTTAAGCCACAAATATCAAAGATGAATATCATTATGGTAAAAGGGACCATGAAATTTAGTTTCTAAATGAAATGTTTTACCATTCTCGAGGGTATTTTGATGCTTCTTTTTTATGCTAATGTGAATTTTCATATTCATGAATTTGTAATGTCGTTTCAGACAGAAAACTAAGTGTAACAGCTATTTCAGCACCAAAAGTTTCCACAATTTTTACAATACTTTGCTGTCATAAATGTATTTTCTTTGGTGATTAATATTTGTGTGAAAAAAAGTACATGGTAGTAAGCCAAAACAAACTTTTCTCACAAATATTTTCAATAACCAAATTTTGGGTTTACAATTTGAAGAAAAAACACCTAAACTGGGCATTGTCTTCCTAAAAAAATGACACCACAGCAACAGCTCACTCAGTTGTACGGAAAAGCATGGAAAAGGTTGAATATTTGAAAAAGTTCACTATTCAATGAAATTAAACCAAAGCCAAATACTTTTCATACATTTAAAAGGAGTAGAACGTTGCACACAAATAATATGCTCCTACGAGAAATTTACTTCATGGACCCTCAAAACAATAGAAATGGTTTAGGAGATTTTTTTTAAGAATAACTTAGCATGTTTGTTTTGTAATGGGGTTGGTCTTGGGGTTCCCAAGATACTGCGTTTTGACCCCTCGGTTTAAGGTCAAGGTCATTATGGTTCAAACAATACAGATGGTTTGAACAAGAAATCTCAGGAACTACCTTGCATATCAACTCATTTGTGTCGCCGAAAGTGACAGAAAGTATTAACTGGTAAAGAATATTTCACTATTATGAGAGCTTGCCGTCTGTGCAACAATCGGGTCAACGAGTCTGTTGGACCGTACCGATCAGGAGGTGAACAGGTAGACTGGTTCCCGCTCCGTTCGAAGTCCTAATCGACAATGGAGGGCCCGGGAACCACTCAAGTGACATGGCGGTACAGCGCACGCGCACTGTGACGTCGCCCCCATTGTTAAAATATATTAATAGTAGTATTACATCAGGGGAATTCTGAAATCGGTAAGCGGAAATATGAAACTGGGTGTAAGTAGGCTACGTTGCACTTGCAGCATCATATCCGTCCAAGATTTCGTGAGTTTTCCATGACTGTTTCTTCCCTTCTTCGGTCTCGATCGTGAAGTCTTGATAATGTGGTTGCTCTGATTAATTTACTTTGGAGCAATTAACTCGGATGGAGATGGGATTTTTACAAAACTTGATGAGGATTTGTCGTCTCAAAGTGCATGTTCACCGTGAAACTGAACTGAAAGAGAGATAGCAGGTAAAAGTTATGAACAACGGTATTTCAGTTCAGGGTTGGGGAACACCTCGCTCTTAAAGAGGTTTGTTTTTCTGAATTATTACTTTGACTGCTCTGAGCCTGCCGTACTCATTTGATAGCAGAACAGGCTGAAGCAAATGCTGAAATTTCTGAATTACGTGTTTTTTTTAATAGATGTAAATGCTATGATGTGTTTTCCAAATGTCGGTGTAGTGTGAATTTTGGTTTTGTGAAATGTGGACTCATTGGTGGTATTGCGCATGATCACGCAAATGCAAAGATTAGGAGAGGGTCTGGTCACGTGAGAGGGTTTAACCAATAAAAGAGATAAGGAGTCCGATTTCTACGAGAGTCCGATGCAAATTTTGAAATGTATGTGTACTTCAAATGCATGCTAGAGTAAAATTTTATTTTATTTTGACTTTATGGGTTTTTCAGGGCCTTTGGATTGCATGCTCATACAAGTTTGCATATTCATGACTAACCCATGATGTCATTATGAAGGAAGGGGCCACCTCGTACCCATGATGTTCAGCATTACTTTTGAAAACGAGGTTTAAAATAAATTAGACACTGGGGACGAGGTTGAGGTAGAGGCCTCGGTGAGGTTGAGTAAGGGGTCTCGGTGTCACAGCTAATTGAGCACCAAAGTCCCGGCATTTGAGGATTTTTACCGTATCAACTTTCTGCTGCATCATTTGTTTTCCATCTGTACACGACTGTCGGATGTTCTTCATTTTTTTCTATTCAAAGAGCGCCCTGTGATGTAAAAAGTGAGTGGGGTTTCATTTCGTTTTGAGTGGAACATTTCCCCAATACGTGAGAGCTGGATGACATTCGTTTGTGTGTGATCCCAGAAGTCATATATTTGAGAGTCAGTGGGTCATTTGAGTAAAAACGACCATTTGCTTTTGCAACCAATTTGTATGCATTTACTTTCATCTGTGTGGATAAAAATGAAGCAAAGGCTTTTACTGAAAAGCATGAATCAAATGGAGTGAGTGCTTCAGACAGCATCCAGGAACTGAACGAAAAGATATTCACGTCCAGTTTATTCAGTAATACCATAAAATATTATTTTTTTAACGTCACATTTTTGATATGATTTTACCGGCTGAAATATGTTTCTGGCTGAGTAAATATAGGCAACTGTCAACTTCGTCCACACTGCGCTTGACGTTTTTCATGAAAGTACTTTCTGCACTCTTTAATTTGAGAAAATATATCATTTGAGTTGGATTGAAGGCTCAAATTAGCTACTGTACTGCATGCATCACCTTAGTGATTTGGAGTCGTTTACCCCACATGTAAACCCTGTGTGGTCTGCGTATTCATACACACACAAGAGACCCTATTGTTGACAACCATTCGTCCGTGCAATCTATCCAATAAGTTACCATTTGAACCTGCTGTCTGGATGAACAGCAAAAGAAATTGTACTCATATGTAAATGCTTCTGCTGTTTGCTTGTACTTCCCAGCATTTGCTAGTTTGTATTCATACGACGCTTCGGCGGCGGGGTTCCTTGGATGACTGGTTCCCGCTCCGTTCGAATTCAGAATCGATAATGGAGGGCCCGGGGACCACTCAAGTTGACAGGGCGGTACAGCGCAAGCGCACTGTGACGTCGCCCCCCAGTGTTAAGATATATTAATAGTAGTATTACATCAGGGGAATTCTGAAATCGGTATGCGGAAATATGAAACTGGGCGTAAGTAGGGAACGTTGCACTTGCAGCATCAAATCCGTCCAGGATTTCGTGATTTTTCCATGACTGTTTCTGCCCTTCTTCGGTCTCGATCGTGAAGTCTTGATAATGTGGTTGCTCTGATTAAATTTACGTTAACTCGGATGGAGATGGGAGTTTTACAAAACGTGATGAGGATGTGGAACTGAACCGAAAGAGAGATAACAGGTACAGTTTTGAACAGCGGTGTTTCAGTTCAGGGTTGGGGGACACCTCGCTCTTAAAGAGTTTTTTTTCTCAATTATTTCTTTGACAGCTCTGAGCATGCAGTACTCATGCGATAACGGCAGAAAAGGCCAAAGCAAATGCCAAATTTTCTGAATTACGTACGTGTCCTTTGAAATAGTTGTAAATGCTATGATATGTTTTCCAAATGTCGGTGTAGCGTGAATTTTGGTTTTTTGAAATACGGACTCATTGGTGGTATTGCGCATGCTCACGCAAAGGCAAAGATTAGGAGAGGGTCTGGTCACGTGAGAGGGTTTAACCAATAAAAGAGAAAAGGAGTCCAATTTGTACACGACTCTGATGCAAATTTTGAAATGTATGTGTAGTTCAAATGCATGCTTGAGTAACATTTTACTATTTTTTTGACTTTATGTGTTTTCAGGGCCTTTGAATTGCATGCTCATACAAGTTTGCATATTCATGACTAACTTGATGTCATTATGAAGGAAGGGGCCACCTCGTCCCCATGATGTTGAGCAATACTTTTGAAAACGAGGTTTAAAATAAATTAGACACTGGGGACGAGGTTGAGGTAGAGGCCTCAGTGAGGTTGAGTAAGGGATCTCGGTGTCACTGCTAATTGAGCACCAAAGTTCCGGCATTTGGGGATTTTTACCGTATCAACTTTCTGCTGCTTCATTTGTTGTCCATATGTACACGACTGTCGCCTGTTCTTCATTTTTTTTCTATTCAAAGAGCGCCCTGTGATGTAAAAAGTGAGTGGGTTTTCATTTCGTTTTGAGTGGAACATTTCCCAATACATGAGAGCTGGGTGACATTCGTTTGTGTGTGATCCCAGAAGTCATAGATTTGAGAGTCAGTTGGTCGTTTGAGTAAAAACTACCCTTTGCTTTTTGCAACCAATTTGTATGCATTTACTTTCATCTGTGTGGATAAAAATGAAGCAAAGGCTTTTATTGAAAAGCATGAATAAAATAGAGTAAGTGCTTCAGACGGCAATCAGAAACTGAACGAAATGACATAAGCATCCAATTTATTCCGTAATATAATAGAAAATGATTTTTCAACATCACGTTTTTTAGCACGATTTTATTGGCTGAAATATGTTTCTGGGTGAATAGATATAGGCAACTGTAACTTCCTCTACACTGCGCTTTATGTTTTTCATGAAAAAACTTTTGCACTCTGTAAATTGTGAACATATATCATTTGAGTTGGATTGAAGGCTCAAATTAGCTACTGTACTGCATGCATCACCTTGATGATTTGGAGTCGTTTACCCCACATGTAAACCTTATGTGTGCCAATTCGCACACACACACACACAAGAGACCATATTGTTGACAACCTATCCAATAAGTTATCATTTGAATCTGCTGTCTGGATGCTGAACAGCAAAAGAAATTGTACTCATATGTAAATGCTTCTGCTGTTTACTTGTACTTCCCAGCATTTGCTAGTTTCTATTCACACGACGCTTCGGCGGCGGGGTTCTTTGGATGACTTGCGCTTGACGTTTTTCATGAAAGTACTTTCTGCACTCTTTAATTTGTGAAAATATATCATTTGAGTTGGATTGAAGGCTCAAATTAGCTACTGTACTGCATGCATCACCTTAGTGATTTGGAGTCGTTTACCCCACATGTAAACCCTGTGTGGTCTGTGTATTCATACACACACAAGAGACCCTATTGTTGACAACCATTCGTCCGTGCAATCTATCCAATAAGTTACCATTTGAACCTGCTGTCTGGATGCTGAACAGCAAAAGAAATTGTACTCATATGTAAATGCTTCTGCTGTTTGCTTGTACTTCCCAGCATTTGCTAGTTTGTATTCATACGACGCTTCGGCGGCGGGGTTCTTTGGATGACTGGTTCCCGCTCCGTTCGAATTCAGAATCGATAATGGAGGGCCCGGGAACCACTCAAGTTGACAGGGCGGTACAGCGCAAGCGCACTGTGACGTCGCCCCCCAGTGTTAAGATATATTAATAGTAGTATTACATCAGGGGAATTCTGAAATCGGTATGCGGAAATATGAAACTGGGCGTAAGTAGGGAACGTTGCACTTGCAGCATCAAATCCGTCCAGGATTTCGTGATTTTTCCATGACTGTTTCTGCCCTTCTTCGGTCTCGATCGTGAAGTCTTGATAATGTGGTTGCTCTGATTAAATTTAATTTGGATCAGTTAACTCGGATGGAGATGGGAGTTTTACAAAACGTGATGAGGATTTGTCGTCACAAAGTGTAGAGTGCATGTTTACCGTGGAACTGAACCGAAGGAGAGATAACAGGTACAGTTTTGAACAGCGGTGTTTCAGTTCAGGGTTGGGGGACACCTCGCTCTTAAAGAGTTTTTTTCTCAATTATTTCTTTGACAGCTCTGAGCATGCAGTACTCATGCGATAACGGCAGAAAAGGCCAAAGCAAATGCTAAATTTTCTGAATTACGTACGTGTCCTTTGAAATAGTTGTAAATGCTACGATATGTTTTTCAAATGTCGGTGTAGCGTGAATTTTGGTTTTGTGAAATACGGACCCATTTGTGGTATTGCGCATGCTCACGCAAAGGCAAAGATTAGGAGAGGGTCTGGTCACGTGAGAGGGTTTAACCAATAAAAGAGAAAAGGAGTCCAATTTGTACACGACTCTGATGCAAATTTTGAAATGTCAAAAAAAGTGAAACTTAACACAATTGCATCAGTCTAATGTAAAAATCGTTTCTTTTCCCTTTTATTATCCTAATATGCTTGAGCATGCGCAATACTACCAATGAGTGCGTATTTGACAAAACCTAATTTCACGCCACACCGGCATTTAGAAAATACATCATAGCATGTACATTTATTTTAAAGGATCGTAATTATGAATATTTAACCTGCTGTCTGGATGCTGAACAGTAAAAGAAATTTCACTCATATGTAAATGCTCTTGCTGTTTGCTTGTACATGTACTTCCTAGCATTTGCTAGTTTGCATTCATACGACGCTACGACGGCGGGGTTCTATGGAAGACTGGTTCCCGCTCCGTTCGAATTCAGAATCGATAATGGAGGGTCCAGGAACCAGGCACGTTTACAGGGCGGTACTGCGCTTGCGCACTGTGACGTCGCCCCATTGTTAAAATATATTAATAGTAGTATTACATCAGGGGAATTCTGAAATCGGTATGCGGAAATATGAAACTGGGCGTAAGTAGAGAACGTTGCACTTGCAGCATCAAATCCGTCCAGGATTTCGTAATTTTTCCATGACTGTTTCTGCCCTTCTTCGGTCTCGATCGTGAAGTCTTGATAATGTGGTTGCTCTGATTAAATTTATTTTGGATCAGTTAAGTCGGATGGAGATGGGAGTTTAACAAAACGTGATGAGGATTTGTCGTCACAAAGTGTAGAGTGCATGTTTACCGTGGAACTGAAATGAAAGAGAGATAACAGGTAAAGTTTTGAACAGCGGTGTTTCAGTTCAGGGTTGGGAGACACCTCGCTCTTAAAGAGTTTTTTTTTCTCAATTATTACGTTGACAGCTCTGAGCATGCAGTACTCATGCGATAACGGCAGAAAAGGCCAAAGCAAATGCTAAATTTTCTAAATAACGTACGTGTCCTTTTAAATGGATATAAATGCTATGATGTGTTTTCCAAATGCCGGTGTAGCGTGAATTTTGGTTTTGTGAAACACGGACTAATTGGTGGTATTGCGCATGCTCACGCAAGGGCAAAGATTAGGAGAGGTTCTGGTCACGTGAGAGGGTTTAACCCATTAAAGAGAAAAGGAGTCCAATTTGTACACGACTCTGATGCAAATTTTGAAATGTCAAAAAAAGTGAAACTTAACACAATTGCATCAGACTAGTGTAAAAATCGTGTCTCTTCCCTTTTATTGTTAAAATCCTCTCACGTGACCGATCCCTCTCCTAATATGCTTGAGCATGCGCAATACTACCAATGAGTGCGTATTTGACAAAACCTAATTTCACGCTACACCGGCATTTAGGAAATACATAATAGCATGTACATTTATTTTAAAGGACCGTAATTATGAATATTTAACCTGCTGTCTGGATGCTGAACAGTAAAAGAAATTTCACTCATATGTAAATGCTCTTGCTGTTTGCTTGTACATGTACAGGCACGTTTACAGGGCGGTACTGCGCTTGCGCACTGTGACGTCGCCCCATTGTTAAAATATATTAATAGTAGTATTACATCAGGGGAATTCTGAAATCGGTATGCGGAAATATGAAACTGGGCGTAAGTAGGGAACGTTGCACTTGCAGCATCAAATCCGTCCAGGATTTCGTAATTTTTCCATGACTGTTTCTGCCCTTCTTCGGTCTCGATCGTGAAGTCTTGATAATGTGGTTGCTCTGATTAAATTTATTTTGGATCAGTTAAGTCGGATGGAGATGGGAGTTTTACAAAACGTGATGAGGATTTGTCGTCACAAAGTGTAGAGTGCATGTTTACCGTGGAACTGAACCGAAGGAGAGATAACAGGTAAAGTTTTGAACAGCGGTTATTTCAGTTTAGGGTTGGGGAACACCTCGCTCTTAAAGATGTTTGTTTTTCTCAACTATTACTTTGACAGCACTGAGCATGCAGTACTCATGCGATAACGGCATTAAAGGCCAAAGCAAATGCTAAATTTTCTGAATTACGTACGTGTCCTTTGAAATAGATGTAAATGCTATGACATGTTTTCCAAATGCCGGTGTAGCGTGAATTTTGGTTTTGTGAAATACGGACTCATTGGTGGTATTGCGCATGCTCACGCAAAGGAAAGGATAAGAAGAGGGTCTGGTCACGTGAGAGGGTTGAACCAATAAAAGAGAAAAGGAGTCCGATTTCTACAGAGTCTGATGCAAATTTTGAAATGTATGTTTACTTCAAATGCATGCTTGAGTAAAGTTTTACTATTTTTTTGACTTGCCTGATTTTATGGGTTTTTTTCATTGTATGCTAATACACGTTTGCATATTCATGACTAACCCATGATGTCATATGAAGGAACGAGCCATGTCGTTTTCATGATGTTGAGCACTATTTTTGAAAATGAGGTTTAAAATGAATTAAAAACTGGGGACGAGGTTGAGAAGCCTCAGTGTAACAGATGTTTGAGCGCCAAGGGTTGCCGGCATTGGAGATTTCTGCCGTATCAACTTTCTGTAACTGCTGCTTCATTTGTTTTCAATCTGTACACGACTGTCGGGTGTTCTATATGAGCCACCACATGTACTCAGACTTTGTGTACTTGAATCCCTAACCTTGACCAGTCTATGCCCACAAGTTACTTCACAGAAATGGCGCCCTCAATTGACAGTAATAGCATATGAGGCACTTCCAAAGATAAAAAAAAAGCAACATGTACACTTTAATACACTTATTTGCAGTGTAAAAGTAAAAAAAAATCCCATGAAAGTGCGCCCT